TTTGTATTTCTTCTTTGCTGATCATCTGCCCATTTGAAATTTGGATTTCTTGCAAATTTGGCAGTTGGTAGGATTTGTGAGTTCTTTCCATATTCTGGATATTTTCCCTGTCATACGAATAACTGGAAGTACTTTCTGCTCTTCTGCAGGTGGACTGTGTACTCTCTTGGTTGTGTCCTGGGCTGAGCAGAAACTTTTCAGATTGGTGGAACCCTATTTGTCCCTTTTTGCTTTTGGTTCCTGTGCTTTTGGGGCCCTGTCTGGAAAATCATCACCTATATCAAGTATTAAAGTGTTTCCCTTACTATTTCTTCTACGAGTTTCAGTCGTTACATTATGGTCTTCGATTCACTTTAGTTAACTTTTGTACAGGGTGAGGGATAGAGGTCGAGTTTCGATCTTCTGCATGTGGGTATCCAGTATTCCCACCAAGATTTGTTAAAGAGCTGCATGTATTTGCCAATGGATGTTTTTGGCATTTTACCCCCAACACCCCGCACTGAACTCAGGACCTTGCACTTGCCAGGCAGGCGTGGCACCACTGAGCTACATCCTTGGCACTTTTTTTTTTGAGACTCAGTTGGCTGTAGATGCATGAGTTTATTTCTAGGTTTTCTATTCTGTTCTGCTGTTCTGTGTGTTTTTTGATGCCAATAATATGCTATTTTGATTACTGTGGCTCTCAAAATCAGCAGTTGTGATGCATTCAGTTTTGCTCTTTTTGCTCCAAATTGCTTTCACTATTTAGGGTCTTTTGTTCCATATGAATTTTAGGATTGTTTTTACCAGTGCTGTGAAAACTTTCCTTGGTGTAGGGATTTCACTGAATCTGTAGAGCAGATTGAGTAGTATGGAAATTTTAACAATTTCTTCTAACCCATGAATATGGACATCTTTCCATCTTTTAATATTTCCCATTTCTTTCATCACTACTTTGTAATTTTCATTGTAGAGGCCTTTTACTTTCTTAGTTTATTCCTAGATACTTTATTATTTTGTGCCTATTGTGAATAAGAATGCTTTAATGATTTTTCTCAGCAAATTCATTATTGGTATATGGAAAAGCTACTGATTTTTGTACACTGATTTTGTATCTTGCTATTTTAATGAATTTTTAAATCAGTTCTTAGAATCTTTCTTTTTTTTAATTTTTATTTTTTGGTACCGGGGATTGAACTCAGGTCCTTGCGCTTGCGAGGCAGGCACAGCACCACTGAGCTAAATCCCAGGTCTCTTAGAATCTCTAGATGGGTCTTTTTGGCATTTAAGTAGAGAGCCATATCATCTGCATAGAAGGATAATTTGACTTCCCTATTTGCTTGCATTTTGTTTCATTGGTTTGCCAAATTGCTCTGGCTAAAACTTCTAGTTCTAGAAGGCTAAGAACAGTGAGAGTGAATACCCTTGTCATGTTCCTGACCTCAGAGGAAGTGTTTTCAGCTTTTCCCCATTCAATGTGATATTGGCTGAGGGTTTCTTGTACATAGTCTTTATTATGTAGAGGTATGATCCTCTATCCCTAATTTATAGAGGAATTTATCATGAATGCATACTCAATTTTAGCAGATGCTCTCCTGAATCAATTGAGATGATGTATGATTTTTAATCCTTTATTTTGTTGATGTGTTATATTGATTTGGAATTATTGAGCCATTCCATTGGGATGAAACAAACTTCATCATGGTGTATGAGCCTTTTGATGCACTGTTAAATTCATTTTTCCAGTATTTTGCATCTATATTCATCACAGATATTTCTTTCTCAATTGGGCAAGAGAAAGAAATAAAACGTATACAAACAAGAAAGAAGGAAGTCAAGCTATCTCTGTTTGCAGAAAATGTCATATAAATGGAAAAATGAAAAAATTCAAAAATTCACCTAAAGACTCTCAGAACTGTGAAATTCATTAAAGCATTAGCAGGATACAAAAATCACTAGTTTTTCTATACACCAATGTTGTAGTTTATGTCTAGATGTCCCCCCTAAAGCCTCACGGTGATATAGAAGAGGTATAACTCCCAACCTGCTAGATATCAGATGTGCTGAGTCCATGGCCCCTGAAATCAAAGAATGAATTCCAAAGGACAAAGGGGGCTAAGAGTAGGAAAGTTTTATTGGGGAATAGGAATAGCTCCTGAGAGACAGCAGGGGTCCTGAGCAGGTGGCTGCATGGCCTCTCCATGTAGAATTACTTATAGGCAAGTGGGGTAGAGGATTATCTTAATTGTTTAGTGGTTGCCTGTTACTGGAGGCTCTATGGATTTTAAATGACCAATTGGGACTCAGGCTCTCTAGTTCAGTTCTTTCACGCTATAAACTGGGACCTCAGAAGGAACCCGTTCATTTGTATTATAATTTCCTGGGCTGGGGATTTAGCTCAGTGGTTCCACCGCCTGCCTTGCAAGCACAAGGTCCCGAGTTTGATTCCTGGTACAAAAAAACAAAACAAAACAAAAACCGTTGTATTATAATTTCCTCAAAATTCAGGATCTTGGAGTGCCTTAATCTTAGTAGGGAGTGGGCTGCCTTCCTTGTTGCCTGAGGAAATTGATTCTTTGTCCAAAGTCTTAGTTCACTATCTGTTCTGAATGTTTATCAGTATGGCTGGTCAACATACTCTAGCTGTGACCCTGCCACTGACTGTTGTCCTCCTCATACGATTGCTAAATAACCTGTCTTCTGCAGTGGGGTTGTGGGTGGGGCTTTTGGAGGGACTGGATGCTAGGGCATCAGAGCTGACTTGCTATAGCAGTGTGGGCCTCACAGTCTCCTGACCCCACCCCACCCCACCACAGCATGAAAAGCCCCGAAGAAAGAACATTTGTCAAGTCTGTATGTAGGGAACAGCAGCTACTTGAAGGAGTGAATGTTGGTCTAATAACTGAAGAAATCTGTGAGAAATCAGCTGGCAAGAGAGAGGGGGATTTAAGCAGGTGGCGTCCAATGTATGAGAACAAAAGGGTCTTTCTTCTTTGCAACTGAAGTATGCTGGGAAAATGGCAATAGTGCAATTGCAGTTAATGCTTTCCTGAGCGTCTCGTGTCTGTGTTCTCGCTGTAATAACTAGCGTGTATTTTTGCAGGAAGGAAGGGGTGCGGACACAATGTGCACCAACCCCTCACGGATCCAATGAGGGAGGCGAGTGCGGAAGAAGCTCTGAGCGCTTCCCTGACCTTCAGCGTGTAAAGAGGCTCCGAAGCCCTCGCTCTTGCTGGGTACTCGCTTCCCGATGGCTTTTGAAACAAGGGTCCCCACTGAAAATTCTGTGTCCTCTGGCATAGTGACCCTTCTCGTGTGGCTGGGATTAGGCAGCAGTCAGAACTAAGCTAGGGTGACCCAAAGTGGGAAGGTTTTTCTGAACGGTGAACCGAGCAGTGAGCGAGAAGCAGCAAGCGGCGCTGAGTGCAGGGACCGGTCCTGCTGCCCACTGCCCGCCTGCACGGGGAGGTTGTTTGTCCACAGCAGTTCTGGAAGTGGACCTTTGTGTCCCCAGCTGTTTGTTTCTGTCCCAGTCCCCTGTGGGCTCCTCAGCTACCCCCTGGCACCCCAGCCTCTGTGGCTGGCTGGCTCAGGACAAGGCCTGGGCAGAAAAGCTTTGGGCCTGTTGTATGTAGTTCTCCCCACCCCTGGGCAGTGGAGACTTCACATGGAAGTGGGGAGGTTTCCACGGTCGGTCCAGCCACATGACTGGTGGAGGCATGAGGGTGGGCACCAGGTCAGGTCCTGAGGGCTGAAGTTTAAAGAAAAACAAAAATAGATCCCCCCTTTTTTTTTGGTACTGGGGATCCAACTTGGGACCTTGTGCTTGCGAGGCAGGCGGTGGAACCCCTGAGCTACCCCACCCCCACCCCATCCCTCTTTAACAGTGATGTTGCTTCTTTTCGTAAAATGCTGGCTTGGAGCAGAGTCCTGGATGAAGCTCCCAGGCAGAGCCCAAAGGTTGCTAAATGCTCGTCATTTCGAGGGTTGAAATACATTTGGCCCTGAATGAACAGAAAGGGAACCAGGGACCTGGGATTCTGACTGTGGTGGCTCCAGTGACTTCTCTGCCAGTCTGGGTCAGGGTCCACGTGGGGTGGGAGGACCCCAGTTTGGGGGCTCTCAGGCCTTCTCCCTCCTCGGCACGCCTCTCTTGCCTGCTTCCTGGTGAGCACAGGAGGGCGGGACAGGAAGCCGAGTCTGATGCCGAGATGGCCTCAGTCTGAGCTCCTGAGACTCAGGGCCGCACATCACCACCCCGTTCCTCACTTCCTGTCTGCACCCACCATGGGAGCAGGCTGCTAAGCAGGCTGGGAAACATGAGCCAACATGGAGACTAGAGATACGGCCCTGACTGCATATTGGTTTGGATGTATTTATCTATCTGTGGTTTTTGGGGGATAGGATTTTGATACATATTTCAGGCTGGCTCTGAGCTTCCTATGTAGCCCAGGCTGGCCTTGAAGTCAGTCATCCTCCTGCCTCAGCCTCAGTGCTGGGATTCCAGGCGTGCACCTGTATACCTGGCAACTGTTTGACAAAGCTATCTGAAAAGTTCTTTATTAATCCATGCTTGTGGTACATGATTATTATGGGGAGCTGGTTCCTGGACATACCTTTTATTTTTGTCACCTGTCCCTTACATCTTTCCCTGCTCCTTCAGACTCTTGGTCCCCTTACCATCTGCAAAAGCACTATTTCCCTTTTTCCCCATTAACAGATGATCAGATAAACAATGGAGTACTACTCTGCCATAAAGGATGAACTAGAGACTTTCACAAGGTGCATGCACCTTGAGACCATAATATTAAACAAAATAGGTCAGATACACAAGCTTACATATCACATGTGTTCTCTTATATGAGAAACTAAAAATATATATGAAGAACAAAATAAAAGAAATAGGAAGTAGAGAGACCTTTTTCCAATCAATGAGTAAAAGGTTATCTTAAATTTTTTTTCATTCTCTTTAACCTCAAAGAGGTGGCAGACCTCAGGAAGTATACGGACACTTTGAGTGCATTAAATAAATATAAATTTTATTAAAAACACTCACATAGCATTATCAGGAATGATATAATAATAAACAGCTTTCAAATAACCTGCATTCATAACATTACAATACTTTACAGTATTTATAACCATCCTTAGATTTTACAAACAAACCAAACATCTCATGAGAATGAAATGACTGTTAAAAAAATAAAGCATAGAAAAATGCACACAGTTCATTATCTTAGTGTCCAAATGCAAACATTTCCTACCAAAGTTAGCCACTAGCTTTTAAAGTGAACTATACATCACTGTGCGTCAATAAAGATGAAAAATTCATTCAAGTAAAGTTGCCACCACTGAAGCATTTTCAAATATGGCTATAGAGTCAACCTGACATTCCTATATAAGCAAACTGCAGACTGGCTTTTCATTCATTCTGAGGCAGGCTAGATATGTACAATCAGAGATCTGATATTTACAATACACTCTACTTCCTTCCTACCTAACTTCTTCCCACCTACCTGAACTACACTTCCTGCTCTAGTTGGCCAGCAGTTTGAAAATGGCAGTGGATGACACGGTCACCAAACAATCATTGGATGGTTCACTCAACATCACCAAACCCATGTGCAGTGCTTTGGGTTGGAGATTATGGTTTATGGAAAACAATAACCATGTGATTTGGATCCAAAGCAAATGGCTTAAAAATGCTTATAAATTGGACACAGCCATAAACTTGAGAGCTTTTTAAAGACAAAAATCATCTTAGAAAGATTTGGCCGATAGAAACTAAAGGCCCCCACTGATTAAAGATTTGACCAATAAAACCCCAAAGTCTGCAGTGATTAAAAGATTTAACCAATAAAACCCAAGAGTTTCCACTGATTAAGAATTTATCTGAAAAGCTAGTAAGCAAAAATGTACTTAGCGCTAAATGTAATTGTACAGTCCTACTGGATACCACGCCTTGTGTTAGGCCCACCTGTCGAAGTCCTCATGAAGTATTTGCTGGTACTGACTAGATCACAAGGACTTTATGGAGAGTTGACATATTCTGGCCAACAGCTACTTCCCAAACTCCTAGCTTACAATTTTCCCTTTATCAGCTCAGTGCATTCTATTTTCATGTAATTTCTTTTCCTCCTTGAAACAGTCAAAAAAATTCTCCAAACTTTTCGTTATAATTAACAGCCAACACATTTACAAGTTAGTCTTATATCAGTACATGTACAAAATAGGAGGGATTCAAAATAAAATGGTTAAATCCCTGAAAAAGAATATATTAACCTAGAACAATTGTACACAAACACAGATGATGTGTTGGCGTAAGGGGGAACATGAGCTGAAATATCCCTGATTTTTTAAAACAAAAAGGTCAAAGTTCAAGTTATACTTGCTAAAAATCAAGTATTGGAAAAAAAGGTATTTTTAATAATTAAAAAAAAGACTTGGAAAAATGATGGTACATAACGCTATAAGCTTTCACTCTCGGTTCAAAATCCTATTGCCAAACTAGTGCTGAGGTATATGGCAAGTAGAAACATCACTCAACCCTTTTGTGAATTTTCAGCTCACATTAGGATAACATTGTAGCAGGCTGAGTAGCACCATCGTGATGTGAGTTCGAATTCAATTCCATGTATATGTATATATTTTTTACAGTACTAAAATACTAAAGCATCGCGTTAAAAAAGTTTTGTTTACAATTTAATTTACTATACAACTCTTGCACTTCTTTATACAAATTAATTTTAAAACCACTACAGCAAACCAGCTGCCTGTTTTGTTTATTTATTTTCTCTTCAACCAACAGACACACACAGAACTAACCCTGTTTATTCATCTTTTGCCGGACTCAGTCCACTCAATCTTCCTGCTGAGGAGGACACTTAAGCTAAGACATGATGACATCCCAAGGTATAGAATTACCAACACAAAAGCAGATGGCTGTTCAGCTTCTGGAGCGTAGAGCACGCTAGAAGAGTGTAGGCTCGAGTGGACATCTGGCTAATTATGACCTGTGTCTACCAGAGTTCTTACAGCTGACATGTCTGAGCAATGAACTTGTCTCACAACTTTGTAGAAAACTGTTTTACAGTATAGCACGTAAGGTGAGCACCAGAAAACGTGTTTTTTGTGGACCGACTCTTCCTTCAATCCAGCACGCCTCATTGCGGATTTCACTGGCTGTGTTAACAGTGAACACGATTGCTCATCAACAGATGTGACCAAAAGCAAAAATGTTTTAAAAGCTTTCCTTGTTTCCTTTTCAAAAAAATTTCGTCCTCAAATGAAAGTAAACTTTTGTTTTTAAACGTCTCAGTACCTTAGCATTGTTCAAGTTGCCAAAGCTTAGGTAGGCAAAGTGCTTCTAAAACGCCACTTAAAATATTTATACCTATACCTGTATGTGCACATATACAAAGGTGGGTGTATAGATGTACATATATATATGTTTATTGTCCTACAGGACGTCACTGGGTGAGCAAAATCCAGAGGCCTTTACAATGTCCACGTTTTAAAAACTACGCTTGTGTAAGAACAGGTAATTCAGGATAAAAACTTGAATGCAAAGGCACCCCCTTTCTTCTGGGGTACTGGAGTACATTGGTAGCATCTCAATGAAAAAAGGCATTAAATTTTCAGCTATGAAAGACACCATTTTCTTAGCACCATTTCGTAGAACACCCAAACAAATTCAGTGTTTTGCTGCTATTCATGTATGCTTCCTGTAGCTATTTTGATAAATAAAAGTTAATATTAAGATTACAGTAAGGACTGCATGTGAAAAACCATAATTCCAGTATTTCAGTACAACATAGATTCAGCACCAGATGGTATTTTAAGATTCCTGCCACTGTAATACTACAGTACTTGATTTGTGTTCCATGATTATGCAAACTTGCTATTATTCAAAGTGGTCACAGATGTGTAGACTTTGGGGGCGGGATCACATTTACATAGCATCTCGTCCACAACAGAACCAGTGTTTAACAACGCAAACCCTGGAGCACCTTCCTCCCTGGCCCGTGCTCGTTGCATAGACAGCTTTGGTCTTTTTCCGGGGTGCCAGCTGCAGCCGGGCAGTGGGTCCCAGTGCATCGGAGAGGCCCGGCTCGCTCCGCGGCGGAGGCGGAGGCGGAGGCGGAGGCGGCTCCCGGGAGCGCTGTGACCCAGCGGCCGGGCCGCCTCACATGTACCTGTTGTAAGGCCCCGTGACCCGCGTGAAGGCATAGGGCGCCGTGGTGACCGTGGAGTCGGTGGTGGCTGAGCTGGTCTTCTCGGCCAGAGACTTGACGAAGCGCAGGTAGGGGGGCGCCTGCGGCTCAGGCGGCTCGGCCAGCTCCCGCTTCACCTTCTTGCCGTGGGCCTTGTGGGCCACAGGGTCGGGCCCCTGCTTCCCGCACTCCTCCTCCTTCTCCCGGGCCTTCTCTGCCATCTTGGCCTCCCAGAGCGCCAGGCCGTGCTTGGGCTCGTTCATGCTCTTGTGCTGGTAGAAGACGAGCGAGACCCTGGCGGGGTGGGTCCTGTTGGGGTTGTTCAAGGGGGTGGTGGCGTGGAGCTCGCGCTTGGCACACTCGATGAGGATGGACCCGTGGGTGGGGGCCACGGCCACGCCCCCGATGTCGGGGTCCAGGAAGCTCTGCTCACTGTCTGACCACACCTCGTCGTCCTCGGCTCTGGGAGCCAGAACCATGCCCCGTTTCTCCAGACTGCGGGCCTCACTTAACCTGGGCAGCACCGCCTGCGTGGACGCTGGGCTGCCCTGGGGGACCCCGGTGGGCATCCGGGGCAGCCCGTTGGCTGTGTGGGGCAGCACGGCATTCTCCTTGCTCTGCAGGCGCAGGGCATGCAGGGAGCTGCTGATGCTGCCGGCCACTGTGCTGTAGCTCCTGTGGCTCGGGACCAGGTGGGAAGCTGGGTGGTACTCCCCATTCTTACAGTCCACATTGGCACCGCCCAGGCTAGGTGGGCATCTGGAGGGGGCGCCCACCAAGTGGCCGTCCATCTCGTGGGGGGTGTAAGGCGGAAAGGGCCCTGTGTGGTGGATGCTGGGTCGCAGGGCGCAGGTGCTGAAGGCACCGCCCTGCCTGTTTGGGTTCCCACAGCCCAAGAACTTGGAGGGGAAACCCTGGGTGTTTCCGAACCTCTGCTGGTAGAGGGTGTGGATGGGTGGGAGGTTCAGCTTGGTAAGATGCTCTGGGGTCCGGTACCTGTACAGATCCATGGGCTGGGCCTGGGAGGAGTAGGAGCCCAGATAGTGGGAGCAGCTGTCCATGGACACAGTCCCGTTGCACTGATAGGCTGGGTACTGGTTATTCTGGTTTAAGAGCCCAGGGTAGGGGCTCCTGGGATTAGGAGAGCTCAAACACGAACCTGCAGCTTGGGGTGAGGAGGAATTGATGCTCACGGGGCTGGTTCCTCTGTACATGTCTGCCGCAGGGGAAGAGTTGGGGTAAGGACTGACGGGGCTGGGCCGTCTCACGTGCAGCCCGGGGGCGCCAGTGGAGTAGGCACCGGTGGACTCTGGCTGGGGCTTCCTGGGCAAGCTGTGCTGCAGCGGCTCTGGGGTCTGGGGCAGGGGCACAGCTGGTCCTGAGAGTCGCAGCAGTTCTGTGGAAAAGGGAGAGCAGAATACGCATGCTTGTCAAGGATGTTTACACGCAGGTGAGAAAGGCTGCTGTGAGTGATTCCCAGCTCCTCCACACCAGTGCAGTCAGCCGGGGTTCTGGTCATAGCACATCGAAGGCGGGCCCGGAGCTCTGGGCCATTGGAGTTCTGAGCAAACACCTCTGCCTCCCCCTCCCCTCCACAGCCCCCTCCTCTAGTGCTTCTGTAAGGCCCAGCAATCATCAGGTGCCCTGTGAATGAGGTTCATAGCCAGCTCCTCGCCCTACTGCTAAGGGCCCGGAGGGGAGCAAACACATCTCCTTCAAACTTCATTCGCCCCGGCCTGGTGCACACTCATAAGGTATAAAATTAAAATGCAGTAGCATCAGTTTTGCGATGGAAGATAGAACAATGTTTTAAGACAAAAAATGACTTTTGTTTAAAAATACAAAGCAGCCAATATAATTAGCAAACCCTACTTCATGACAAGGCTTTCCAGGATTGAAATTCATGTGGTTGTAGATAGTACTGTAAAGAAACGTTCATCTTGGTAGGTGAAGCTTTCAAAAGTCCTATTTCTGCTTCCTAACTGCACTCGTAAAGTCACCCGGGTTAATAACAATGAGTAAGTGGGGCTGCAGTGACAGTTTTGAGACCTGGGCTGATAATTATCTGCAGGAAAATAGCAGTGGGAAGGGACCAGACCTGAGCTCTGACTGGTTCTGCCTTACGGACAATGTAAAGGAGCCATCAGAGATTGAATGGGCTTGACTTTTTCATGGAAGGCAAGGAATCGACACAGCATCTTTGGCTTATTCTAAATAACTTAGTTTCCCTGAGCTTGGAAATGAAGCAGCTAGGAAGTGTGACTTTATCAAGCAGAAATGGCTGCTGCTTAGCAAACTGGGACAATGGACTTGAAAGATAAACATTTTTTGTAGTTAATTTGGATTTCTTTTTAGTACCAACTGCAGACAGAAGGCCAAGGGCTACAGCAAGAGCATAGGAACTTAGTATGGATCAATGATGCTGCATTGCCACAGTGAGGTATATCCTATTTTGAGGGGTAAGAGATTTAGAGAACAGCTCCTAAGCTACAGGCTCATTGCTTCTCAGGAAAAGGATCTTTTTCAAACATATCAATAAATGGTGCTGTTTTAGTCATCTAGGTTTATTAGGTTTTTCTTCTCCTTCATTGCATCTTTTTGTCATCAATGTTTGATTTTTTTCATTTTGGAAGAATTTACTTGTAGGACTCTTGCTACATTTTTGCTGCCGCACCCAAGCTGCAGGTCTTGTCCCTGGCTTACTGCCCATGTCTGCAAGCGCATGGCTGCCCTGCCCTGCCAGGTTAATCCCGGTCTCCTTCTATCATTTTTCTTTCAGTTTATTATGGAATAAATCCGTCAACCTGGGGTTGGTGGTGCATTATCCCCGAGGGGAGAACCTGGCCCTTGCTACAATTAGGGGAGGTTCTGGTTCGGCCAAGGCCAGGATCCAATGCAGCCTCCTGGGGGATTCCCCAAGGCCAGGGCTGCTCAGGCGCACGCCTGTCACACAGACCATACCCTGCTTACCTGTCAGCTGCTTGGCCTGGCCCGCGGTCTCCACCTGCTTCGTCCTCGAGGCCGCCTTTTCCTTCTCGGTCTTAATGGTGTTGTTCTCCAGCAAGGCCAGCTTCTCAGCTGCTGCTTTCTTGGCCTCCAGCTTCCTCTGTCTGCAGGTCTTGGCCGGCTCTGCCAGCATCCTGACCTTCCGCCGAAAGGAGGTCAGCACCTCGATGGCGCCACTGCGCATCTTCTCCTCCTGAGCCTCCGCACTCCCGAACTCGTCCACGTCGGAGATTTTGTACAGGGGCAGCACGTGCAGCTGCTCATCCTCGGGCACTACTCCGAATTCTCGATTGTCTTCCCTCGTGAGTGTGCACACCTGGTGGGCAAGGGAGACTTTATGGCTCAGGGGCAGGTCCCTGAGCAGTGTGGACGTGCACTTCCTGTCTCAGCCCGCAGGCTTGTGCTGGGGCAGCGGCCGCCATGCTGCTGTGCAACCCAATAACTTACAAATGCAGATGGCGTCAAAATGGTGCTGGGAGAGATTCACAGTGCTGCCCTTTCTGTTGCTGTCTGAGTCTATGCAGCCTGAAGTCTGACTTCATAGACTTCCACCCCCCAGAGGAAGCCACGCTCCTACTATAAAAATGAAGGAGGCCAGCTCTGCTTTTCCTGCTTCAGAAATGGGAGGGACAGATTGGGGCTTCTTCTACAAATGACCTTCCCAGGCCATGGTGTCACCATTGCCTGGTCTAGTTTTGTGCACAGAGAAGTATCACCTCTTTCTTCACACCTGACTCCCAAAGCTCTGTTTAAGGAATTCATTGTGTTCAAGATGCCTCGAAAGCCACCAGCGTGAAGATGTGAAGAATGAAAAACTGGAGACTGGGTTGATACCGGTTATACGCACCTAATACTTTCTACTTCCCTCTGTTCTCCATTAAACCTAACTCAGCGTTTCTCTTTGGTCTCAGGGCTTTTCTGAAATTACCACCACATACAACAAAACCCCGAAGCTGCCTTTTTTGCTTTGATAAATTAATGACTTTTTTGGTAGTCACAGCATCCTGGTTTTGATGAAAGCTTGTTTAATGGCAGTGTTTAGTATTTAGGGTTTTTAAGGACAGGGTGGTGTAGAATCACTGGAAGCCACCAGGGAAAGGGAGGTGACCCTTTGCCGGTGACTGGTGACTGTGATAAGAACTGGGACCTGAGGCAGTGGGGACACTGTCACTTTTCCACATTCCTGTTTCTAGGCACCTGGTTACTTTTTCCTCACATACAGGTGAATCCTTATCCTACTCCTATCCACTGCTGCCTTCCGTCCCACACAATGAGGCTGTGGTTGGCCTCAGGCAATTTCCTCAGTTCTGAACTCTGTCCTCCTCTTCCTGCTAGTGCAGGTCCCCTTCCCGGAATCCAGGCCAGCTCCTAATATGAGCAGCTCTCGGGGTAGTCGGCGATGCTTCCCGAAGTCAGGGTGGGCTCTCCGGGGTCTTCAAACAGGCCTGTGGCCAATCTGCCTTGAGCCTCTGCTAGCAATCAGAGTGGTTTCTGCATTTTCAAGGGGCTAAATTAAATACCTAATCTTTCCGTTTACAGTTTTCCAAGTTCTGATGTAGGCCATCACACTAACACTGTCTCTGCTTCTCAGCAAAACTTTACTCCTCAAAGCGCCTGGCTGTCATTTACCACTCACCTGAGTTCACTGCCACCCTTTACTGCCTGGGATTGATTAGTCACCTTCAGTCCCCCCACACCTTCCTCAGCTCTGTCTACACCTGGGTTGGTGATGCCTTGGGGAGAGTCATGTATCGATGGATTTCTCAGCAGGACTTTCTTTTGTTCTTTTTGAGACAAGGTCTCACTGTGTGGCCTGGGCTGGTCTGGAACTCATAAGCCCCCCCCAATGACCTTCCTGTCTCAGCCTCCTGAGTAGCTGGGACTATCAACATGTGGCACCATGCCCAGCTCTGAGATTTTTCCTCCTGTCTGCACCATGGACAGCCTTGGGCAGTGGGGAGTAGGCACCTCTCTCTGACTTTATCGAGTTCTTCTCCTTGAAGCTGCAACCTAAGCCCCCTTCCTCCGCACCCCGTGTGACCTTGAGTGGAGTGGGTCTGCTGCACCATGGCCGGGCACCCCACACACAGTGACAGTGGCAGTGTGTCCATCTGCGTCTGTTCCCGCAGCAATGCACGCTGGCTTGGAATGCTTTTCAGTTTGACTGCAGGTAACTCATCGTGCAGACAGAGCACTGAAGGGGGAGCCATTCCCGGTGGCTTAGACCCTGGCTTAGATTCGCAACGAGATGCCCCAGCCCTCCTGTACTTGTTGGTATAGTTCCCAGCACTGTGAAGCCAGTTAGGAGGAGTGGGCCTTGCCCAGAAAGAGCTCCAGGTGACGGCAGCTCACCCCAGACTCACCAGTGTGCTGCCGTTGTGCATGTTGTGCAGGTCCCGGTGGGCATGGGCGCAGAAGTCCAAGCAGGCGGTGACCCCCGAGAATGGGCGTCCCTCCTTCAGCCCCAGCCGGCAGTCGGGGGCTCTGTGTTCCAGCTCCACCTGAGAGACGGGGGTGGGTGTGAGGTGGGGATGGGCCTCCCAGCTGACAGGAGCCCTCCGCAGTGCTTGGGCTGTGTCCAACTTTTAGGAAAATTCTGGGCCTGACATCCAGGAACACAATGACCCAAAACAGCAGATTCCTGAACCCAGGGAAGTCTGCATTTCGTTACTGGGGTGTAACTGACAGCCTTCAGGGGGTTCTGTATCCTGGGTCTACCCCGGGCTCACACAGCCGTCAAGTGCTCTGCCAACTGGCTGCATTCGCAGCCCCCCGATTATTGTTCTTAAGCAGCAGGTGTGCTCTAGGTGAGCACTTTTCTCATGCATCCACGTCCATGTCCACAGGCCCACTGCTGCACACAAATCTAATTTCCACTGGGCACCTGAGTTTCCCTCATGCACCTTTGGAACTCATGTCTCCCGCTCTGTCTCCACACAGCAGCAGATTTGCTTTCTGCTGCCACAGATTGCTTTGCACTTTAAACGGGTCCACTAGAACTGAATTTTTATATATCTGTGAAGTGCTAAGGTTGCTTCTTGGGTGGGTGGGTGGGTGGGTGTGCATGCCCTATGGCTATCCAACTGTTCACACACCACTGGATAAGAACATCCTTTTCTGCCTCAACTGCCGTTGTTAAAATCAGGTGATGGCTTTTGTTGGGTCTACTTATGAACTCTTTCTAATCCATGGGTGCATAATGGTGAGTGTGCACAATCTGTCTCAATTACTAGCAGGGTGTTGGTGATCTTGGAATTGAGTGCTATAGCCCTTCCAACTGTGCTCCCCAAAAAACCGAGTATTCCAGGTCCTGTGTGTGTACATATATATGAGCACAAATACACCGCAATACCTTGGTTCACAAATGCTTCTGTTTGCAAACAACTTGGTTCGCATTCAGCAAATTTTGCTCCCATTCTCGAACACTGCATTGGGTGGTGAACACAACCATGGCAACCTTCTCCAAAATTATGGAAAGAATTAAGTTTGTGAACCAAGGTACCACTGTATACTGTATTTTTTTTCCATTTTGTCAATTCCTTCAAAAAGCCTGCTCAGATTTTGGTATTAAACCTGTCAACTAGTTTGGGAAGAACTGACATTTAGGAATGTTTGCTCTTGTGATGGATGAACCTGGTATAACTCTCCACTTTATCAAAGAGATGTTCTTATGCCTAAGAATTCTGTATTCTTGATGCTGTTTTAGTTGGTTATTGTTATTTCCACTTTAATTACTGCTAGTATACAAAAATTATTTTTGTTCTATCACTTTGTTAAGCTCCTTTTGTTTTAGGGATTTAAGATCTCCAACACCCCTGAGCCATTCAATAAGACATTTTTCTAGCACTCGAGAGGCTGAGGAAGGAGGAATGTGGTGAGTTTAAGGTTCCCCCCCCAAAAATCTAGGTTTCTCCTTGTATGATTTTCATTTGCCCAAGCACTGCCTTTACATTTTAAGATGTGAGTTTGAGGGCCAGAAATTTAGCTCACTGGCAATCTGCCTGCCTTGCGAGTGCAAGGTCCTGAGTTCAATCCCTAGTATTGGAGGAAGAAAAATCTGACAAGATGTATGTTTGCTAGTGGTGAATTCCTTCTGCTTTTTTTTACCTCTGAGAAAAGGTATGTTTGTCTCTGAGAATTGTTTTCACTGGTCACAGATTTCTGTAGGGTTCCCCGTTTCTTTGAGTATTTGAAAGATGTTTATTTTCTTCCTTTTTGTGACAAAATCTTGTCTTTATGGTTACTTTCCACATGAAAAGTTGTTGACAAAATTCACTTCTCTGCCACTTAAATTGCAAACAAATTGATTATGATGCACCCTTCTAGGTAGTTTTCTTTGTGGCTTTTTAAAATTTAGGGTTTGCTGATATTTGTGTATTTAGGGTTATGTAGTATCATTCTGAACAAATATGAAAAGAATTAAAAAATCTCCAACTGTCCTGTGGGCCGTCAGTTACACATACTGATGTCTTGTAGGCCTCAGAGCAGGTCAGTGTTTTTCCTTGATTGTTTGTTGTCTTTACATCAAATCAGAAGCTACCCATTGCTATGTTTACAAGTTTACTAAGCTTCTGCAGTTAATATTCCACCTAGTGGATTTTCATATTTAGGGTTTATAAGTGTTTTGTTTCTAGCAGTTTTCCTGTGAGTTTCATTGTCACGGACCCCCTACCTATATTTTTTACTCAAATGAAAATATTGAAACACATTTTGGAAATTAAAATCTTGTTGTAAGTTAGAAAGCAAAATATAAAGCTCCTCAAAATATCTCTAAGTTCAGGAAATATATAAAATGGCTCAAGGTACGACAGAGCAAAATGTAATAGGAAAGAATATAAATGCTTTAAAAACTCAAGTGTGTGTGGCAGCCTGTAATAAGAGTCAAAGAGTAAAAACAATGCTTTCTTATTCTGTCCCTTTCCCCAGGAAAGCCCTTTGATTGCTAGCACCTACCAAAAAATTAAAAATCAGTCAACACAACAGAGCCAAACTTTAAAATCAGACAACATAGACTGAATTGATTTTCTTCTTTTTATAGCTTGATTTACTGCAGCATTTCATGCCCAAGTTAAACTTTTACACCAGTATGAAGGCACCCCCCCATGCTTCTCTGTGATACTGACCAAGACGTTGTAAAACTGCAGGATTGCCCCAGCATTATTACCAGCCTTTACAATAACTTTTATAGTCATGTTGCTAAAAACACGTTTGCCATAATAAAACCACTCACAAACAGGCTGTGATTAAATAAATGTGCCTGGGATGATGCCCCCAGCACAGGGAGAAAGCTCAGCCGTTTCAGTCCATGGGGGAAAGGAGAGAAGTGGGGAGATCTGCCCATTTGCTCGTCCCCACATCCCTGACCCCTCTCCACTCCCGCCCCCCCGTCCACTTCTACCTAGAGTGTGAATGGCTGCCTACAGGTGCCAGGCTGCGTCCCTCCGCCCAAAGGGACAGTCATGAAGCCATCACCGCTGTTGTCTGCTGTCACACTGCACTGGGGCTATGAGGGGTGATAAACACGGCGAGTGACCGAATTTTTAAAATCATGGTAAAAGACACATTGCCATGAATTACCCTAAAATATTCCCCTTTGTGTCCAACAAACACACTCATCCCCTTGTTTTTTTCCACTTTCTGAAGCAGCTCTGGAGTCCTCTTTCCTGCGTGTCTTTTAGAGATGTGATCAGAAATACAGTCCAAGGACAAGGCAGCTCGTAAAAACATCGCACTGTGTCCTCGTGCAGCTTATTCACCAGATCTGCCACAGTGCGACAATGGCTCTTCCCCCAAAGTCAGAATGGCCAGGAAAGAGCCGTGCTTTGAACTGATTAAGGCCACTGAGGCAGCCAGGATGGCACAACTAAAGACATGCCGGAAAAGAGGACTCCAGAGCTGCTGCAGAAAGTGGCAGGGACGATGGGGAGAGTGTGTTCAAAGTCATCCTCGGGCATGGATGTGACGGGGATTAATGGCAACGTGTGCTTTAAAGTTTAACACACGCCTTGTTTTCAATGGCACTGTGGACATGCTGACGCCTAATGGAAGGGGCTTGAGCAGGGTCTCACCGCAGCTTTGGGGATCAGCCCTGAGCCCCGGACGCTTCAGCTGGTGGGAAAGGGCAGCCCCTCCTGTCCCTGACCCGAAGCCCTGCTGCAGGACCTGGGTTGGGCCCTGGGGGTCACCATGGGGCGTGTGGTCACCACCTGTCCCAGGGCTCAGCTGCAGAGGCGTCCGGAGGCAGCTGGAGACCCCTGAATGGCACGGGAGGCAGCTCACTACCAGCACTGGTGCCATCCTGCCTGGGCACAGGGGTGGCCCCCCATTAAACTAGAGGCAAAATTTAATAATGGCAAAAATGTGGAGAAAGGGGAAATCTGATATGCCACTGGTGGACAAGTAACAGAGCCATACAGAAAACACTATGTCAGCTCCTCAGTACACCAGAGACAAAAGCACCATGTGATCCAGCAACCCCACTGCTACATCCTCCTCCCAGGAAGCTAAAATCAGGGTGTCTAAGAGATGTCTGTGCAGGTTCCCTGCAGCACGCCTGGCTAGGGCCAAGGTATGGACTCAAGCCAAGTGTCCAATAGAATGAAATTCTGTAATTTGTAGTAACATGGTAACATCAAATAAGTCGGGCACTGAAAGACAAGCAGCACATATATGTGATGTGTTAAGCTAAAACGCTGACCTCAAAGTGGTGGGGAAGAGAGGAGTAGGTAGCTGGGGCCTAGGAGGGGTGGATGTCGGCAGAATAACCACTAACTGCTAACGTTCTGTTCTTCAACCCGGCAAGGTAACTGTGATGACAGTTCATCAAAACTTTGGAGCACCAAGAGAGTTTGAATGTTCCTACGGAGCACTGTGAAGCTGCAGACGTGCCAGTTACCACATTCATCACCACACATCCTGAATTGTCAATGCAGCCCAGAACTGCAGTTAGGGATGTGTCACTTAAAAATGAAAACACATTTAAAAATGCTGACAGCTCTAGAATCTCATTATCAGCCCATTCTCCTCTGAAAACTGCTTACTTCCTAGCTATTCCCAGACTGCAGCTTCTTTCTGCACTCTGCCAGCTCCTAAATCTTCCAACTTCCTCCCAGTTCTTCCTCTAACCTAGATGGATGCAAGTCAAACCATGCACATCCAAAAGGAAATTTAATACCTTACCCTATGTTTTTACCAAAATGTCACTGATTCCTGATAGTTAACAGAATCACTTGTCCAAAGCAGAAATTCGGTGGCTCCCCAAGTTCACTTTTGCTTGTCCTTACATCCAATTAGACATCACATTTTACAAATTCTACCTCAAATATTTCATGCCTAGTTTCCTTCTCACCATCCTCCCTGCCAATTCTTTATTTTTTTGTACCTGGGATTGAACTCGTGACACCTTGTTGCACTCCAAGGCCCGTGGCAGAGCGGAACCACCGAGCTAATCCCCGGGTGCCCCCTGCCAATTATTTACAGTGGAATCTAAAAATCTCCTGCCCAGCTATTACAGTAGCTTTCTTCTCTCCCATCTTACACTGATCCAAGGTACCTCTGCTTTATTTGGCTCCTTGAGTGACGTTTTTGAAATATGGATTAAATGAGTCTACCCTCCAATGTTAACCTCTAGGGCAGTAAAGAGATTTGGGATCCAGGGATATCTGAGATGTTATGTTTGTGCTTTCAGGATTAACCCTTTCTTTTACTCTCAGAAGTGTGCACAGGACTCTATCCTAGCTACTTTCACGTTTACGGTGCCAGTTAACCCCGATTCTCCTCTTGAATGCCTCAAGAGAGACCTGAGAGTGAGCCTATTGGAGGAAGTGTGTCATGGGGCATGACCTTGGAGACTGTCTCTTTCCTTTGTGGTGCTGTTTCCCCACTCTGCTTCCTGGCCACCATGAACTGAGCGAGCAGCTTTGCTTCACCATAATGTTCCTGCCTTGGAACCAGCTAACCATGGACTGAACCTTCTGAAACCATGAGCCAAATTATACCTCTGCTCTCTTAAGGTGCAGGTGTCAGGCATTTTGTCCCAGTGACAAAACCTGACTAATGACACACAGCTAACTTCTATTTTTCTGTCTCCTTTAATAAAGCAATTCTTAACCATGAGAAGCTGCATTGATGATCTTCAGAGAATAAATGGGTAACAGCTTTTGCTTGTGGCTATTACTGTTATCACTCAAACAATGGAGACTTCATAGTCTTGCCATTTTCATAAACAATTTCTGAGAAGTCACCTGTCTACCTGAAATACATATAACACATGTGACCAGAAAAACTTTATAGTGTATAGAGGCCAAACCCAACAAAATATGGCAAAATGTGACATACTGGGACACAAATGTATGCTTACAGTGCAGTATGTTTGCATTCTAGACAATCTATGAAAAACAGTAGGTCATTAAAGAAGCTACAGTTGGGGCTGCATAATTTTAATGCAATCACCAAAGTCTACTTAAGGAGGCAAAATTATCCTTGTGAGAAAAAGGGTAGGAGCTAGAACAGCTGTGAGCCTTTAAAGCTAAAAAGACCAAAATGTGCTCTTCTAGATGGTATGGCTTTCATATGGGAGAAACCAGAGAGGTTTCAGTGATTAGGAAGAGATATAAAAGTAAAGGGGAAAAAAAGTAAAGGGAAATTATGGCTTCAAAAATATTTTTGGACAGAAGTCGGTCATCAATAAAGAGTATAAATTAGTAAAACTATTGCCAGTATATATTGCAACTTACCTGATTGTTGTAGGCATCAGGTGCAAGTTTCTGGTACATTGGTGAAAGAAAAGTGGACAGGTTTTGCAAGTTAGACTCCAATTTCTCTTCCTGTATAAAATGAAGAATTCAATGCATTAGATTTTATGTCAGTTCTCTGTATATTAAAGTGGCTGTTATTCCCTCAATCGTAGGATGTAAAACATTCTTTCTTTAGATGAGTAAAAAAATGGTTTCTGTCCAAGGTTCCACAAGCCAAGCTGTGGAATAGTCTTCTACTCAGAACAAATCTAGAGGGGACCACTTGCAGTTCTATTTGTCTTTATCAGAAACAGTCGTGTTGTTAAGATGATGTACTTATCTGCTATCACCTAGTTCTGTGTTGAGTATCTATCTGTGTACCATCTTTGCATGCAGCTAGCTATAGATCTCTTCTGGGTTGAGGAGGTGAATGAAACCCGAGCTCTTCCAGGGGTCACATTTTCCACCTCACTGTCTGTCACCTGCCGAGGAAGAGGCACATTCAAAGGGTCAAATTGTTTAAGTGCTGGGAGGAACTAAACTTTGAAGGTGGGCAGTTTCTGGGTGCAGTGCTTCTACCTCTGCTAGCCTGGGTTAAGATGAACAGTGGTTTCCGTGGGAGGCAGAGCTTTCCGTGTGGAAATCATGTTAACTAAGTATGTTCTCATTTCTGAAAAGCCCAGGACACATAAATAATACATTTCCATTGAAAAAAGTTTATGTCCCAATTTCAAGAGCTTCTGTACTTTACTATGCCTTTGTTTACGATTATACTCACAAATAATAAACTCATGACATTTTCCTTTTAGAGAAACACATCAATATTACAATATCTGTAGCATAAATCTTAATTATACCTGAAATCCAAAAGTATAAGGTGTATGGAGACCAGAAATTTGGTCAGATCTGAAGGCTCAATATATTGATATCTGTTCCTTCCTCTTTTGGATACTGAGGGGTGAATTCAGGAATTTGCACATGCTGATAAGCAACTGTTCTGCCAGTGCGCTACATCCCCAGCTCTTTTACTCTGAGACAAGGTCTCACTACGTTGCTCAGGTTGGCCTCAAACCTGTGATCCTCCTGCCTTACCCTGAGTAGCTGGGATGACAAGCACGTACTACCATTTCCGACAAAATAATGAGATTTTCTGACCAGTTAACATATTCTAGACCATGTGCTACCTTAAATGTTGTTAAATTTGATAACAATTTTAAAACAGTATTTTAAGTAATATATACTCTGGAGGAAAGAAAAATGCCAATGGCTTCCCTGAGAAATCAATGTTCATTTCAACTGCACATTTACATTAAAATTTACATTTCAGTTACTTGAGTAAATTCATTATGGTGCAGCATGGAAATATCACCAGAAATGGATTTTGAACGTGGCAGTCACGAACATGACTTCTGTAACTCAGAGTCAACAGGTAAAAGGAATCACCAATCCTCATTTAGTTTAAACAGTGAAGACCTAGCCCTGTAAAACTCGGGACCAACATAACCAATAAATACAGGATGCCAAAATAAAAAGAACTGATGTTGCTCAAATTGTCAAGCTCTAACTATTACTTTGGTATAACATAGCTACATTCATACAATCACACTGTGTTCAGCTTAGTCAAAATCGTACTCATCTGGGATGAAATTCCCTGTTAATGAGACCCCAGGAGAACAGGTCCTGTTGTTCACTGCATCCACCTGACAGTTCTCTAGAAAAAACAGGCTGTGTGTCAGGAAATCAGCCAACCTCTTTTGGGTCATCTCCAACCAGCTTGAACTTCCTGGGGACCTTGCTTCGGGCGAACTTGCAGCCGTTGTAGTACATGCTCCATGAACAGCCGAAAGAGAAGGAGGCGCCACAGGTCTCTGGATCCAGCCCCTGACACGCACACGTTCTCCTGCAAAGGCAAAGCAGCTGGTTCAAGACTGGGGAAAGCAGTTTCTGGCACAGCGCACCAGGCTCCCATTCCGAAGGTGGCATGCAGAATAAATGCAGAAAGCAGGTTTCTACACTCTGAAAAGAATTCAGATGGAAACCACACCCTGGGCACAACTAGTTCAATTTTAAAACGATTTAAAAACACTTTGCAGAAACAACCAAATTCTCTTGGGCTGGGTTTGTAGCTCAGTCACAGGAATAGCACTTGCCCTGCATGTACAAAGCCCTGGATTCAACCCTTGGTACTACAAAACAAGTAACCTTTCACTACAGTACAATAAACAGAAAACTATACATAAGCTTATACTTTGAAAATGTTAAAAAAAAAAAAAAACATGTTCCAGTTACTCAGAAGGCTGAGGCAGGAGAATCACAAGTTTGAGGTCAGCCTATACAATTTAGTGAGACCTTGCCTCAAAATGAAAAGGGCGCGAGTCGTAGCTCAGTGCTGGAGCACTTGCCAGCATGACTAGGCCCTGGGTTTATCCTCAGTGTCCTCCCCCAGAAAAGACACAATTCCCTAATGGAGTACAACGAGGCACAAAGCGCCACGCCAAGACGGAACACTTACTACACAGCACAATCTCTTCTCCTCTCCTCTGGGCCCTGTCTTGGCAGTAATTTCTCTCAGAAGAGATTTGTTTTGTTTATAGTTATACTTGATCTGTACACATGACGGTGACCATACAGTCCCAGTTAGATATTTGACTGGCCTAGCCTATCCCTCTTCTGGGTTATCTTCCTGAAAGGGTTAAAGACATCGTGTTACAGTGATCCCTCCATCCTCAGTTGCAGCAGCACAACTCATAACAGGTAAATCTTGGAAGCAGCCTGTATCTCCATTGACAGATGCGTGGATAAAGAAAAGGCGGCGTTTACACACAGTGGAGCACTACTCTGGCATAAAGATAAACTTGAGTCATGTGTAGGAAAATGGATGCACCTTGAGATTATAACGTTAAGTGAAATAAATCAGACACACAAGCATAAGCATTACATGGCTGATCTCTTACAGGAGAAATCCATGTTATAAATAAAGAGCAAAATAAAAGACAGATAACAGAAAGTAGGGAGATACAGTTCCTCAAATGGGAAGGGGATCAAGGGGGGAGGGGAGGGGAGAAAGGGCAACGAAAAGGAATTAAAAGGTGTTTTGTACATGTACCAACTCCACACAAGGAATGGCAACATTATGTACTGCAAGCATGTGCTAATAAAAATAAACACATGTGTGAATAATGAAATATCAAACCAAGAGAGAAAACTACATTTAAGTAGTCTTTGAGAATTATTTTGAAATTACATGCATTGTACATAAAGATTTCAAAAGAATTTCAGTGTAACATAACCTGCAATCTTTACCATGGAAAGAAAAATACACATGGTCTTCCATGCTTGTAATCCCAACACTCAAGAGGCTGAGGCAGAAGGATCACAAGTTTGAGGCCAGCCTGATATATATAGCTTTATATCCTGTCTCAGAAAACCAACCAACAAAGGAACACAGGGAACAAAAAAATTCAAATTTTCTTTCTTAAAAACAATTTACCTATGTCTGTCCTTGAGAAAGCCCCAAATAAATAACTTCTTAGGAAAACCATACCTGCTCAGGGTGAGATTTCCAAATATGATTTTCCATTGAAATGAACATAGGTCTAAATCTCCGAAATTTGATAACTAAAGACCCTAATCATCCATCTATTCTGCCATATGCCTCTAGATGATTCAATGATAGCCAGTTTATAAGGGACAATTTTTTTTAAAAAATTTCAGCTAGGGCCGAGTTATTTAGCTCAGAGCCCACTGCCTGCCTCGCAAGCACAAGGTCCCAAGTTCGATCCCCAGTACCAGAAAAGTACAAATTGCCAATAAGTATATGAAAAAATATTCAGCATTTTGGGGTGGGAATTTAGCTCAGTGGTTCTGACACCTGCCCTGCAAGCGCAAGTTCAATCCCCCAAGTTCAATCCCCGGTACAAAAACAAAAGTAGGAAAAAAAAATTTCAGCTAGTAAATGCACAAAGAATGTTACAGTTGTACAGAAATTACCATTAGGTGTCAGCAAGAATGGTAGACTAAAAATCTTTTAAATTTTCTCCTCCATAAAATCAATGAGATGAATCAACTTTTCAGAAATCTGGACAAAAGGCTTGCAGCAATATTCTGAGTTTGTACAAGAAAAAAATCAAAAGGGTTGGAGGGGCAGCTCAGTGGTACAGTGCTTGCCTATTGTGCATGAGGCCCCAGCTCTGATTCCGAGAACCATAAACAGACCTAGAGTTTCAGTAAGAAGTATCAGCTTGGTGGTGTTTTTAACTCATCCTATGTTCATCCTCCCTTCAGCTCCATGGTAGCCTTGAAAACAAACAGCACATTTGTGATGAAAATCAAGTAGCCTGGCAAACACTGGAGGGCACCAAATGGGTTGGCCAGTGTCCAGAGCTCTGTTCCCAGGGCACTGACATTATGGGACCTCTTTAGTGGTTCCCTGGAAGACCTCACTGGTCAGGTTACCTTCACTTGATCTGACTTTGGACCACACTTAATGTATCCAGCCTTTTCCCACATGGAGGCATTGTTAAAAATAGCTGCAGGCAATTGTTGAATATTGCCACTGCCTGAGATGGTGAATAACAATTGGAGCAAAAAATAAGATAACCAAAAAAAATCAAGGGCTAAGAATGTTCCTCCGTGATAGAATGCTTGACTAACATGCACAAAGCCCTGGGTTCAAGCCCCAGGACACCCCTTCCTAAAAGGAAAACCTGAAAAATAAGATGTCCATAGGTGGCTTTAAAAAGCTTCAATACATTCATGGAAATCTGCATACATGTGTCAGACTATGGGCATGCTCATAGTCCTAAGGAAGCCCTCAACTCACAGCAATCTAATCTTGAGACTCTTCAGAGGCAGGGAATGAAGGCTGACCTGGTGTTATAAACAACTTGGCTGGTGTTGAATGCCTGTCCCCAGGCACGTAAGATTTCCATGGCAAAGGCTGACTTGAGTTTAGCCACTCAACAAAAACTCTAATCAATAGCTGACCACTAAGCTAACCAAAGATTTCACAGGTGTACATGACAAAGACTCCAAGCTTTAAAGAGTAGTTCCAAAGATCATAAGGCAAACTAATTAATAACCAGAGACTGGAAAAAATTCAGGGGTGAATAGGAATGTGATTTTCAGTGTTATCACATATATTGTTTAAAATGTCCAGTTTTCAATAACCTATTAAGACACCCACAAAAAAAGTATGGTCCATATAGACAAAGGAAAGTGATCAAGAGAAGCTATCTTTGAAGTTCATATGTAACTTCTAGACAAAGACTCTAAATCAGCTATTTCAACTACGGCCAAAGAACTAGGAAAAACTGTTTCCGTAACTAATAAAGGAAGAAAGCAGAATTATCAAGAGATTTTTAAAAAAACCACAGAAATGGATAATAATGAAACAAACAATCTGGAGCTGAGAAGTGCAATAACTACAAAAATTCATGAGAACTGTTAAACATAAATTTAGGTGCTCCAGGGAGACAACAGGGTAGGTCCTGGAAATAAGTCAGTGGAAATCAATTGTTTTTCTTTTGGTTTCCAGACTGAATAAACAGAACCTTGGAGAGCGGTGGGACACCCTAACGAATTAACCTATGAATCACAGGGGGCCCAAAAATATAGGAACAAGAATGAGGAACAGAAAAAGATACCAACCCCAAACAGTCAATGTTTTAGGAACATTAATCTACAGGTCCAAGATTCTCAACTACCTCCATGAAGCATAAATTCAAAGACAACCATAGCTGGAAACATCTCACATTGCTTAAAGCCAAGGACAAAGAAAACTTGAAAGGCATGCTCAACAGGATTAACAGCTGATGTCTCATATGAAACAATGGCATGTAAGAGACAGTGGGATTCCATACTAAAGTGCTGGGATTTTACATAGGAGTAGGGTAATTACAGAAAACTATGTATCGTTCATTTCAAAAAGCTGGGGGAAGTGAATGACTGTTTTCACCACACATCCGTTTAAGCTGATTTATTGCACATTTATTGCATCACTTGTATCAAAACACTGTAATGGCATCAATTTATGTATCATTTAAAAATACATAATAGGGGCCAGGGATTTAGCACAGTGGTTCTGCTGCCTGCCTCACAAGCGCAAGGACCGGAGTTCAATCCCTGGTACCAAAAAAAAATACATAATAAAGTGCTGAAAGAGAAAGACTGTGAACCAAGAATTTTATATCTAGATCTCTCAAGAAATAATAAATTGGGGCACACTTAATAAACAATCTGATTGTTGATTATTATCAGGCCTGACCTACAATAAAACTAAATGAGATGGGCAAGCTGGAAAAAAAAAATGCTAGAAAGTAACTTGAATCTACCTACAACCATAAAGGTAATCGCATAGTGCACATAAAAGTATGAATTTGTGGGTTTTTTTTCCTGATTTAAAAGACAACTGGATAAAGCAGGAATTGTAAATCCATTAGTGTGCATGCAATGTACAAAAAGTAACAAAGAAAAAAAGAAAACAGCTATATAGAAAAAAGCTGTTAAGATACTATAAACTGAGTACATTTGGTCACCCATAGAATGCTGCACTCATCAGCAAAATGCACACATCCTTCCGGAAGACAGAGAACACTCTCCAGGACAAATGTGTTCTCTGATGACAATTATATTCTAGGTAATTAACAGAAGCAAAGTTGTGTGATTAATAAATATATGGAAATAAAATGAGTGTTTGTGGATTAAAGAAAAATCATTAAGAGAAGAATTAGAAAACATTTTGTGGTTAATCAAAGCAAAAGCTCAAATTTTATGGGGAAAAGGTAAAAGCACTGCTGGAAAGAATTGTTTGAGAGAATAAAGTTCTCAATTCAATTTTCCACATTAAGAAAACCCATGTCCATCAGCAATGAATGAATAAAGAAAATGAAAATGTGGTGT